CTAAAATAATACAAGAACATCATAGAAATATATAATGTTTTATAAAATTTTCTCATCATTGTAGAATTTTTCATATATAATAAAGTCAAAATCAGCACCATAGTTCACAATATTATGTGAGCCATATTTAAAAAAGCACTACATAATAAAGTAAAAAAAAATCCCGTATAAAAATTATAACATTATTTTAAATATGACTACAGACAGTTGGAAAAGAAATGCATAAAAAAATTCAAACTCCAAAATTTGTATATAAAATAAAAAATAAACAGGTATATGGTCAAATTTAAAAAAAAGTTATTATAACAAAAGAGAAAGCTCAAAATAAAATTTCATTATAAAAAACAGCAAAATGTTCAAAGAGGAAAATAAAATTAAAAACTTCTATTTTAGTACACAAGTTACTTAGAACCTATATTTCAAAATATTTACAGAGACAGAGTGCTAAAAACAACAGAAAAACACTATATATCTCACTAACTTGGAAAATCTAATATCTTATGTGCATAGTAATACTTGTTGAAATCAACAAAGCACTAAAAATAAGAAAAAAAACGCCATAGATCTCACTATTTCTATAAACCTAATATTTGTTGAAAAATGATAAAAACTAAAAAGAAGAAAAAATGATATATATATATATAACAAATATTGAAATATAATATTTTGTGTGCACACTGGCTTAGAAAATAATAAAGGAAAAACTGAAACTACTTTGAGAAATTTGTACTGAAGTTTTCACACCTATGACAACTCAAAAGAGGTAAAAAAAAACAATTGTGATTTATAAATTAAAATTTGGATAAGTACAATAGATTTTTTGTTTTGCTTGTAATTAAGCACAAAGCTACACAATGGGCTATCTGTGCTCTGCCCACCACGGGTATCGAAACCCGGATTCTAGCGTTGTAAGTCCGCAGACATAAGTACAATAGAAGTGGTATAACACAGAGTACTAGTGGGAATATGTTGCTAAACAAAATATTATTTTTTTACCTGTGGAAGAGTTAGAAAAATAAATTTTATGGGCATAAAAAATAACGTAAAAAAAGAATAACATTTCTCACAGATTGCTTGAAGACATAACCATCCCAAATAAATAACAAATACAACTACTACTCTCTAAACCATATCTAAAAACTTTGTCAATCCTAAAAATAACACATACACCCAAACCAATGAAAACCTATCATTGCAGTTCAAACAACAAATACCCACATGAAGAAATACAAAAAATTATTAAAAGGGAAGAATTTTTGTGGAGAGAATAACATGAGAGCTGTGAGTCTTTTCTCTATGTACTTCTTTAGCTGATGTATATATTCCATTGTATGCTCAACAGGAAATAAACATTATTGTTTATAAAGACTATGTTATTAAAAATGCACAGAAATATTTCCAACTAGCAAATATTAACTACAAACAACCAATAATAAAAAGAATAAAATAATCCATCAAAAACTATAAAAATAAGATAACATATTTAGTTAAATTCTTGATTACAGCCAAACAGGTAATTAAAAAAAAACAACTTAAAAGTAAAAGGACTGAGGTACTACTATGCATATCCACTGTCTAACAGGGGTCCATGAGAGTAGCAAAAACAAAATGTATCAAATCAGTGCAGAACATTTAAGCAAACATTAAATGCACCTTCAATCACTCACGCTTGTACATGGCATCATTCATAAAACTATTTGGAAAGGGGAGAGCACATACTAATTTTTCCTTGGAGCCTATGATGGCTGTTGGGAGCCCTGCTAGTATGGAAGTTTAGCCAGCTCTAGTGTTTACTTGATTTAGTTAATGCAAGTTGAAGTATAAACTAAAGAAAGCTCATGACTTAAGCATTACTTTTCCAAACTAGTGCTAACTAGTTTAAAGAAAGTTCAAGACTTGAGCACGATTCTTCTAGCAACTTGTGCCAACTAGTTTAAACAATGCTAAAGACCTGAACACTACTCTTCCAGCATCTTGTGCCAACTAGTTTAAAGAAAGCTCAAGACTTGAGCACTACTCTTGTAGCAACTCATGCCAACTAGCTTAAAAAAGCTCAAGGCCTTAGCACTGCTTTTCCAGCAATTCATGCTAACCAGTTTAAAGAAAACTCAAGAGACTTGAGTGCTACTCTTCCAGCAACTCATGCCAACTAGTTTAAAAAGAAGCTCAAGACCTGAGGCACTGCTCTTTCAGTAACTCATACTAACTAGTTTAAAGAAAGCTCAAGTCTTCAGCACAACTCTTCCAGCAACTCATGCCAATTAGTTTAAAGAAAGCTCAATCGAGTACTACTTTTTAACAACTCATGTCAACTAGTTTAAAGAAAACTCAATCAAGCACAACTTTTTTAACAATTCACATCAACTAGTTTAAATGAAGCTCAAGATTTCAGCACTACTTTTCAAACATTTAATGCCATCTAGTTTAAAGAAGGTTCAAGACTTCAGCACTATTTTTCAAACAACTAGTTTTATTTAATTGTTTACTTCTTCATGCTCTCCAGGCATTAAGAACATGTTAAAATGTTATCTTATATACTTCACACGCAACAAGTACTTAGATTGAACTAATAGTCATCTCATAACTGCATAACACATAAAGACATATTTATTTTTAATACTAAATTAATATTCTTGCAAATGTCAGAATATTTCCCTGGATCTCATCATATAAAATGGTACTGTTAAAGTTAAAATATTTCCTCTTATAACTTATGGTTATATTGAATTACACGTAAATATTAATTTGCTTAAGTCTGCAATATTATCCACATAATGCATCACTTTGAGGCTCTAACTGAATAAATTTAAAGAATGTATATATATATTCACATTTACTTTAAAATCAGTAACGAGTACAGAAACAACAGGTTCGGACAATGCAAGAGGAGCCCAAACACTGTCGGGAGAAAAAGGATGCCTCATATAGTGATTAATCTCCTGATGAACGATAGCCAAAAAATCCTCAGTCAAGACCTCACACCAAAAGCCAGTTATGGTAATCAAAGTAGCAGTTATAGTATCAAAAGTTGTAAAACACAAACTTTGGAATTCAGCTGAAACTGTGAAGTTATCACGACAAACTGCTACAGAAAAAACTAACCGCAGCAAAGGAATAAATCAAGTAAATCACTTCTTCGCAAAATAAAAATGAAAAGAACACCTGAAAGGAGCACAATTGAAAAACGTCTGCACTCAATCACTGCCTAACGAGAAGTGATAGCTCGGTAGAATTGAACTGAGGGAGTCACATGCATCAGGAGGTTGTGTCGCACTCCAATTGGTGGAGGATTGTCAGATGATGATATACATGTGAGACACAGTTGAACCACGTTGATCATGGGATACATGGAAGTTCAAGACTTGTGGCATGCAAAACATTTTTGCATATAGTAGGCAGCACTGAACGAGAATAGCTATACATGTGAGAGGAGGTAACGTACCCTATCAGAATTCAATATATATACATTTATATAAGATATAAAACTATAATTTCCAATAATACAATACCTCATTTGGAAGTGTACTAAGGCTAATTTTACACTTCCAAATTAACTTGTAAATAAATTGTACCTCCTAGGTGCCATACCAGAAATTTTGGACATTTTCTATAGCTTCTTGTTTCATTGTTTTTTCTCTGAATAGCTTTCATCAACTTTCGAAACATCTTTATGTTTTAGATAGTATATTTAGCTATTCAACCCTCTATATAAAACAGAAGTGGTATAGTTCTTCTTTTCAGTCCATAAGATTTTAATGTTTTAAGTCGTATCTCTAGCTAATTGACCCTTTATGTAAAATGAGAGTCATAAATGATTTTAATGTTTTACATCATATCTCTAGCTATTCAACCTTCTATGTAAAATGAGAGTCATAAATGATTTTAATATTTTTACATCATATCTCTAGCTATCAACCTTCTATGTAAAATGGAGTCAGTAAATGATTTTAATATTTTACATCATATCTCTAGCTATCCAACCTTCTATTGAAAATGAGAGCAGTAAATGATTTTAATATTTTACATCATATCTCTAGCTATCCAACCTTCTATGTAAAATAGGAGCGGTAAATGATTTTAATATTTTACATCATATCTCTAGCTAGTCAACTTTCTACGTAAAATGAGAGCAGTAAATGATTTAAATGTTTTACATTGTATCTCTAGCTATTCAACCTTCTACGTAAAATGACAAGTTCTTCCTCCAATTTGAGTATTACCAGCTAATTATAATAGCTTTGCAGTTACTTTAGTTTTTCTTGATATGAGACTTCTATTTCAGCACTTAACTACCAGATTCTAACTTATTTATGAACTCAATACTACCTGTAGAAATGATTTTCCAATCTGGCTTTAATGGTACTGAGGTCAACTGGATACTCCACAACAAGAGCGTAGTCAGGGTAAAGATTCAAGTCCACAGGTACAGTGAATGGCTCTGCAATGGCTAATTCCATAATTTGCTCAAGACCTCGTGCTAACCTGCTGCACTCTTCTTCTTGTCCACATTTAGGCCATTCAGATGGTTTGGGAGAATACCTAGTACCGATTTGCTCGTTTTCAGCAACACCCATATTTTGCCCATGTCTGTCACGTAGCCCTTTTGATCAAAGAAAAACATTTGAGTACAATTCTAGTCTAGGTTCAACTCCTTTTAACACCAAAAAGTAACACACTATATTAATTCATTTCTAAATTACAGAGCCATGTTGATACAGATAATAGCTACTTCACCATCTTCACAAAATAAAACATTGTTCCAAACTACTTTGTAAAATATTTGTACTTTCAGATAAAATGTTCTAGAGTACATTAAATTGATAAAAAACATTACAGCACTGAATACTATTCATACCTCAATATCACAAACAGCCTTTTGAACAGTTTTGAAGAAAGTTAAGGATTAGACATGTGAGCCAAATGCTAATATTTTTAAGCCCTTGAATAGTTGGTAGGTACCAGGAGATTGGAAGTTGGCTAATGTTACACCATTTTTTAAGGGAGGAAATCAAAATTGTCCATTATATAATTATAGGCCTATTAGTCTTACAACAGTAGTGGGAAAAGTTTTTGAAAGTGATAAAGGATGCTTTGTAAAGTCATTTAACAAAGGTTAAAATTTTGTTGGATAGTCAGCATGGTTTCACTAATGGAAAATCTGAGGTTACTGCTTATGTAGATGAGGGTACAGGTGTGGATTTAGTGTATCTGGATTTTCAGAAAGCACTTAACGAGGTGTCATATAAAAGGCTTCTTAAAAAATTATCACTATAGGTTTGGGGGTATAACTTGCCTGACTAGATATAAAAAAAGCAGAAGGTTGTTATACATGGAGTTCAGCAAAGTTGGATTATTGTCACAAGTGGGGGATCTCAGAGTTCAGTGTTAAGACCTTTGCTTTTTTTTGTATTTGTATCAATGACTCAATAAAGTTTTTAAATTTACTGATGATATTCAAGTTTTTGGGTGTTGCTGGCTTTGATGAGGACACTGCTGCTGTGTCACAAAAGGATTTAGATTTTTTGGTGAGTTGGGAAGTCAATGGCAGTTGGCTTTTAATTATAATAAATACATGTGGGTTATCATAATTTAAATAATATGTATGATTTTCATAGGAATAACTTTAACAGTGTTATGGAAGAAAAGGACTTTGGCATTCTGGTTCATCAGCCTCTTAAGCCATCTAAGAATGGTGGAGCAAGTACAGTGTTAGGTTGCATTTACAGAAACATTGAAAATAAGTCTAAAGAGATTATAATTGCCTTGTATAGGCCACTGGTTAGGTCTTACAGTGTTCAATTTTGGGCTCATTACTTTATGAAGTACATTGAATTGTTGGAAAGGGTTCAGAAGAAGGTTACTAGGATGGAAAGGATGTTTTACAAGGATCGGTTAAGATCTCTGAAATTGTTTTCTCTTATCAAAAGAAGAGTTAGAGGGGAACTGATTGAGGAGTCTAAGACTGTTAAGGGAATTGATATTGTTGATGCATCATATTTTTTTTTTTTTTATATTTAATTTTGAGAATCATAAGACTACGGGTCACAAATATAGATTTTGAATATCATGTTTTTTTTTAATGTAAAGGCTTTTACTTTATCCGTTATTTTCTCATCCCTAACACTAACTGTAGCTAAATCATCACTGTACACAGATATGAAATTTTGAAAATCTAACCTATATAAAAGCCAGTGTGTATTACATCACACTTGGTGTCTAGAAATAGAAGGAGTCATAAAAGCCAAAATGCATTTATCCAAACAGAACAGTTCAAATACTGTCTGACTATTCTGATTTTAGTGACTGGGGTGCAAAGGGGAGGGGGGTGCTGTGAAACCTTATAAGTGTAATGAGTGTTGGTATAATAAGCCTAAAGTAAAGACACAATATGGGATCACCTAGCCAACAGCCAAGTGCATAAAATGTATCATAAAAGTAAAAATATCGATTTAATTTAAACTTAAATCCTTTCTGAATTAAGCTATTTTCTGCTATATCACCAACAGTTTTAATAAAAAACAAACCTCTTTAATGAGTAAAGACTAAATTACAAAATCAACAAATATTTTTCCAGTTTTGTTGTCTAAACATTTCATTTTATGCTTTCAGTACATAGACTAATAACAATATTAGGTTATACTTTTGTTGCTAATCAGCATGACATAAAAACCATTGTTACCAAAACACAGTGGCTTTTCTATATATTAGAAGTTATTATTCTAACTGATTTTTACCAATAATTATTCTATGAATACGCCACAAATTAGTTTCATGAATGATCTTAATTTTGAATAGCTCACAAAGGAGCTTACCAATGTCTGACTGCCTCGACTGCACTTTTCTGTGTCTTTGTTGGCAAGGTTGATTTTGCAAAATATATTTATCTCAGTTAGCTATGAAATGTGAGGTTAGGGTATACTATGGCGTAGTACTTGGCCCGTCATTTTTGACGGCCTATACTCTAGTTATGAAATGAAATCAACAATACCTTTTTTTCCTTTGAATGAATTATTTGTTACCATTTTTAAATTCCATTATCTTCAAAGTTTCATCTGTTTACCTTTGTATGTATTTTGTTTTAATTTTATAGTTTTACTGCCTAGATTGTACAATTTTTAGTTTTTTTCATGTATGAAGAGTGGCACATCATGTAAGTAAATTTTCATACATCTATGTGAAGCTTTGGAGTAGTATTCTCATAGTTACCTAAGGCTAATTTTTCTCTCTAAGACTTTGTCAACAGAAAAATTCATTCACCTTTCAGATATGCATTTTAAAATATAAATCACTGAAATAGAATTTAATTTAACAATTTTAATTTAACAGCTTTTCTAACTATGCTATCTAAGGTAAAAAAACTTGTTAAATGGTATGAGTATCAACTTACATATCAACATGTAAATTTGCTAGTCTAACATGCATTACTGCCAATTTCAAAAGGACTATTGAAAGTTTGAAGTTGAAAATAAGTTCTTTCTAGTGGTTTTAAACATGTAGATCAAGTAAAAGCCCATAGTTTTGAATATACCTTAAAAGTTAAAGATAAAAAAGCAGGGTTTTTGTAAAAGATAGATAGGCAGAGTTTCTTTCATGGGTTAGGAAAATTTATTGATTTTTCATTACAAAGAGAAATTATGATATTGATACTGTACTTTTGATCTTCGATTAATATATAACAGCAAATTTTTATGCTATGTTGTTGTTGTTTTTTAAGATGAACATTTGGAGATAAAAAATTTTCATTCAGAAAATTTCTTAAAATGTCAGCAAAATATTTGTACTGTTGCGTCATCGAGATCACGTGATTCTCATGCCCTCTACTTTCTAGAACTATCCTGTACTTTGGTGAATGCTCTAGTATTTACTAGATATAGGGTAGTCTGGTATATAAAAGAGGGTGACAACGTGAGAATAATGTAATGTGTGTGTAGATAGTGAGTAACTGAACTGCAGTCACAGGGTATTGTTGAAGTTAACGTTCGTTCGTTATAGTGTTTGTTTTAGCGCGAATATTGAAATTAAGTGTATCGTAAAGTTATATTCACAAAGAATAAACCAGTTTTATTACGTAAGGACTTGTGTCGCTAAAGTTTCGTCGGAACGAAGTTACGGAAAGTTAATTAACAAACGGAGACGTAACAGTACCATATACTTCAACTGTTTCAAATTGATAGAACAGATAAGTTATAACTTTCTAGCCAGGAATGCTTACAATTATGAATCAGAGGTTCTAAGTCCCAAGGGCTCAACCTCTCCATCTCTTGATTGTCCAATTTAACAAAAAAACATTGAAACATGCAGTCAGGATACTCTTCTTGTAAAGGTTCTTGATGATCAATTGTTCCAAGCTGCCAAGTATTATTTTTCATACATCTAAAGCGATCTCCTGAGAAAAAAAGCACATATATAAAAGTAAAATGTTAATGTTTTCAAAAGCTCTTTATAATGAAATAACAAAAATGTTTACTTTTTATTGTGCAAGTTATACAAAAACATACTCAAGACAACAAAAGATCTTATAAAAACATTTTGTAAGAAAATATCAAACAATCAAGCAGGGGATGCTTGAGACTTTAATTATAAAGGTTATTAGTCAATATACTAATTTTATTTAATGCTAACTTTTGATAAATAAAGACTTGGAATATGAAACAGGTTATGGTTCCTCGGAAGTAAAAATGAAAAAGAGTTGAAAATGTTGAGTATGTTTTGGGCCACAAGGTGGGTTCAGAGTAGTTGAGAAAAGATTTACTTCTTTTAACCATTTTCTCATTGCTTGCCAGTGCTGAAGATTTGAAGATAATTAATTATTAATCCAAGTGCATGTAATATATACAGATAACTCAATCCCTAAATACTTGATGGAAAAATCAAAAGCATTTTAATTTGTAATTTTGCAATGAAATAATAGATTAATACCTCATGTATAACACACCACAAGTTCATTATATTGTGCAAAAGCCTTTCATGATAGAAATTTCACTACAAAGTAAGAGCTCATAACTATAGTCATCACAACAAACACCATCACTGATGTGATAACAGCTATATAGTCAAGACATTCATCCTTGTACTGTTACTACAGATCGTGAAACAATACATGTAACCATAATATTTGAGAAGAAAATAAAGAAATCTGTATATATATATATATATATATATATACCTGATGGCAAGAAACCCACTTTGAGACTATTAAAGTTTGGAAACAAAAAATATATAACAAAAAATACAACATTTCGACAAGGTTTTGTTATCATAAGGTACCCGGAGGGTACAATATGTATATATTGTGTATAAATTGCAAAAACTGAAGCACTTCAAGAATTCAAACGAATTTCTTGTAAAAAATATCAAATAGCAATGAAGCTATGGTGATTTCTCAAAAAAAAAAAGTATAACTGCTCTCTTAACTTGCTCACCTGTTTTCAGGTCAAATACATTAAAATCACAATTAATTTCTAATGTTTTTGCATTGATGGAGTAATGAGGATTCACTTCATGTGATGGATTACTTTTATGAGATTTTCTTCTTTTTTTAAACATTTAGTGCAAATGTAAATTTAAAAACACATAACAGTATGTTATATCACATTATCATGAATTTCACTTTAAAATGTACACACACACAAACATATATATATACACTGAGTGGTCACAAGTAAATAGATACCTAATTTTTCATCATTAAACTGATTTATGCTAACTAATTTGTGTTCACAGAGCACCATATAAATGAAAAATGGTCCGCACACAAATTATCTTGTGCTACAACATGCCTAGAACTCAAGATTCTCTCGAATTGTCAGATTTTGTTAGAGGTCAAGCAGATGGTGGAATAAGTCAGTGGCAAATTTCGCAAAATTTGGGAATCCCGCTTTCGACAGTCAACAAAATTATCGTGCAGTTCAGGAAACATGGCAAGGTAACAACTGAGCAGCGACCGGGTCGTCCTGGTTCATTGGAGAGGACAAAAAGGCCTGACA